AATAGAACCCCAATGTACCCCTTCGGCCCTCCATACACCCTTTCTGTCGCCCCCCCTCCAACTTTCCGTCTTCCCACCATCATTCCCCTCTACCCTACTTCCCCTCCCCCTCTACCACTCCTCTCTCCCGATATACTCCCTCCCTTCCTTCTCATCCTCCCTTCAATCCTCTCTCCCACCCACCCCCTTTTTCTTTGTATCTCCTTTCTCCCCTTTTCTGTCGCAAACACTTTCTCCATTTCCCTCTGCTGTCTCTAGCCCCCCCCCCACCACCACCACTTGCACACCTAAACTGGACCAGCTCCAGAATAATGCCCACTTCAAACACAGCTGTGTTTCCACTGCCAAAATAGCCTTTTTGTCCTGTCCCAAGCAGAACAATGCAAAGTGTTGACTTTTTAAAAAGTTCATCTAAGAAGCGGGAGGTGAGAAACGAAACGGGAGCTCTTCCCTCCCCATCAGTGAGAGGGTTGAGGGTCTCCGCATCCCCCCCACCCCCACAGCAGCTTCTCTTTACAAAGACTTTTTCCTTCTCTCACTTGCTCAAAAGGAAGGAATCCGCTCCTTCAGATTTCTCACCCTCATCCCGTCGCCTTTCTATTATCCAGGCTCCCTTTTTCTTTCTCTCTTTCTAGCCCACCCAATGATTCAGTTTTCGGGTATCAGAGAGGTTGCCACAAAGAGGGTGTGGGCAACCTATTCTCCAAAGCACCAGAGGGCAGGAGAAGCAGCCACGGATGGAAACTAACCAAGGGGAGAAGCAACCTAGAACCAAGGAGAAATTTCCTAATGGTTAGGACAATTAATCAGAGAACTGATTAATGGTTTGCCTTCAGAGGTTGTGGGTGCTTCATCACTGGAGGTTTTCAAGAAGAGACTGGACCTCCACCTGTCTGAAAGGGTACAGGGCAGGGGTATCAAACTGAAGGGGCCTGGATCTGACTCGTGGGGTACTTAGATCTGGTCTGCGGGGCTGCCCCGGAAACAGCAAAGGACCAGCCCGCAGTGCTTCTGCCATTGCAAATGGGCTCCCATTCACCCGGCCCTCCCGAGCTCCGTTTTCACTGGCAAAGGGTTGCAGGAGGCCATGGCAGCCGAAAACGGAGCTCGGGAGCCTGTTTGGGCCACCACAGGCGCCCCCGACAGGAGTGATGTTGAACTGGCCACACCCATCCTGGCCACCCCCCGAGGTCAAACAGAACCCTGATGTGGCCCCCAATGAAATCGAGTTTGACACCCCTGGTCTAGAATCTCCTGCATGAACAGGGGGTTGGACTAGAAGACCTCCAAGCTCCCTTCCAACTGTATTCCAATTGATTGATGCTTGAATAAAGTTTGGCTAGTTTTCCTCAACAATTTGATCCTTTCTTTGGTGAAAAATAATTGCAGAGGGTTATTGAATTAAATCTTTCTTTCACCTTTCATGTGAGCTCTCTCTCTCTCTCTTTATCTTTCTCTCTCTCCCTCCACCCTTCCCCCTCTCCTTTCCCCGGCTTTTCCTCTTTCGGTCCTTGCTGGTGGCTCCTATTTTCTCAGCTGAAGTGAGCGGGTGGCTTAGCCTTGGAGAGAGGAACCAGCTGGGCATGTGCCAGCTGCAGCCTCCTGCCAGCTGTCCAGGCACAGGCAGGAGAGGCTTCTGCCAGCCTGGAGCTGGGGGTGGGTGGGTGGTACAGCTACTCACCTGGTCTCCAGCGATGACAGGAGGTGGCCCAGCAGGGCAGTTCTGGGGTATTCTTCAGGGTGCCACCCTCTGCCGCCTCTTTCTCCAGGCCAAGGGGTACCTGGAGGTTCTCATAGGTGAGCTCCCCCTCATTGGGCTCTGGAAGACAAAGGGGGTCAGGAAGGAGGGGATGGAGGGGAGCCCGGAAGGACCCTAACCAGGCTGACCCCTACCTTCCCCATGGCTCTTCTCTGGAGGGCTTCTTGCAAAGCGCAGGTCAGCGTAGGTGATATCCCCAGCCATCCGGCTGCCCCCAAGGCAGCCCCAGAGCGGCCGAAAAGGAGGAACTGCAGCCAACGATAAGCATCTGCTCAATGCTCTCCTGGGGAGGCAGAAAGCAGAAGTGGCTCTCTGGTGGGTGGGAAGCAGCTGGCTAAGCCCAGCCCCAAATTCCCGCAACTCTGGCCCTGTGGGGAGCCCCAGGGACTGAACTGCTGCCTCTGTGGACTTTCCCAGCCCAGCGAGACACGAGCGCTCGGCTTCCCCCCACTGAATGGCCCAGCTCTGCAGCCTCCGAGGTGAGCCAGAGGTTCTGGGAGGGGAATCGCTTGGTTCTGCAGTGCCGTTGCCAGCTCTTAGTGACCACATCGATCTTCTCCGAGACCACCGTCCCTCCCTGGTCCTCCAGTCTCCCCAGGGCGCTTCCATTGTCGGTCCCCCGGGCTGCTGGCCCCGTGGCACGACAAAACTGCGGTCCACTAAAGTGCGCCCGATTAAAGCGCGTACCTGACGTCATCAGCAGCGCGACAAATACGACCGCGGAGAAAAAAAGGGCGCTTTAAAAAGCGCTTTTAAAGCAAGCCAATTCATGTAAAGGTTAGGGCTAGCGTTAGGTTAAGGGTTAGGGTTAGGGTTAGGGTTAGGGTTAGGGTTAGGGTTAGGGTTACGTTAAGCGTTA